ATGGCAAACCAGATTTAGGAATGACTCTTTGATCACTATCTTTGCTTTTATATCTATCTCATATGAAAAAGTTCTAATCCTGAATCAGTGATAATTTACTTTTCATTTCCTCCTACTTGACAGAATCTTGTTTGAAAACCAGCCCATTGCCAGGCCACAGTCTCTAACCTTATCTAGTCCCTTAGTTAATTATTTCACCTCCCACAGACTGGGCATATTATCAGGAGGGGCCATCCCCTTGAAAAGGACATCAGGCTTGGAAATCTAGAGGGTGAGCCAACAGGAAGATCCTCCGTGAGATAGATTGACAACAGCAGCGGTGGGCTTACGCTCTCAGTGTGGATGACACAGAATTGGGCAGGGTTTTGTTCTGTCATATCAGATTACTAAAGGAGCTCTGATGGTGTAGTAGGTAAGGAGTTACATTGCCAGCCTACAAGCAGGCAGTTCAAATTACCAGCTACTATGGGAGAAAGATGGACAGTCTCATCCTGTGTGATTTACCAACTGAAAATCAACTGTGTGATTTACCAACTGAAAACCAACTGGAGGGTCAGCTGTGAGTCAGCTCAACAGCACAGAACAAGAAAAGAGTCTGAGCCAACTTGATGGTTTCTGTGTATTTAAGGAACTTCAGTTGGTAGGGAGAAAAATGGGTAACAATTGATGAATGAAAACCTGACTTTTCTGTAAACTTTCATTAAAATCACAATTAAAACAACAAAATAAAAAACCCCAAGTTTAGTTGGACCGGTCTTTTCAGAAGTGTTCAGTCTGTCTCCCGTCTCAATCCCCTTGCCAGTTTTTCACCTTCTCTGTAATAATTTCTTTGCCTCTTGTATGCTTGAGGTAGACAGAAAAAGAGTCTAATCCATATGGCAGTGTTGGGAAATGTGGATAGAGACTGCTGAAATGTTTATTTCCTGCTTTTAAAATAACTTATAACTAAACAAAAGAATACTCTTCAACAGCTTGCGTTAGACAGATGATACAACCTTGCTTGCTGAAATTGATTACATGTCAACATCAATAAAATAAAGGTTTTTACCACTGGGCCAATAGGCAACATCATAGATGTAGAAAGGTTAGAATCTGTCAATGATTTCATCTTACTTGGACCCACAGTCAACACCCTTAGTACCAGCAAGGAGGTCAGGAGATGCATTGCTATAGACAAGTCTGGTATCAGGGACCTCTCTAAAATACTGAAGAGCAGAGGTCAGTTTGAAGACTAAAAGGGCACCTGATTCAGGCCATCGTCTGAATCAGTCACTTGCTATGCATCTGGAATCTGGATAGTGAGTAAGACTGACAGAATTGATGCCTTTGAGTTGTGGTGTTGGAGAAGAGCACTGAATATCCCATAGACTGTCAAAAGAATGAACAGATTTGTCTTGGAGAAGGTGCAGCCAGAGTTTTTCTTCAAGGCAAAGATGATAGTTTTGTTGTATGTACTTTGGACATGTACCTAGCTGAGGCTAATTCTTAGAAAAGGGCATCATAGTAGGAGAGATGGTCAGTGAAGGAGAGGCAGATGAATTGACATAGTGACTGCAGCAATGGGCTCAGAGATGAGGATAGGAGAGGATTCAGGTCAGTTGTTCATAGGGTTGTTACGAATCATATTCGATGGCACATAACATTCACATTGTTAAAACCACACTAGTCATAAGAGGTGTATTATTCATTGATGAAGACAAGTCTTTATATCAAGCTTTGATTTTACCCTCTTCAGAAAACTTCAAACGTATTGCCAATGATTTTGAACCAACTCGTAGCTGATACTTTAGCAGGTTTTTGGAGATGGTTAATTGTAGCTCAGTTCTTCAACCATTAGGCCACCAGAACTTTCTTTTATCTTCTTGGAGACTTTTTAATGAATTATGCTTCATATATTGCCACCATTTCCCATGGCATACAATTTCATCCTAATTAAAAACTTTTCTTTTTTCTTCCCTCTCCAGCTACCTCTCATCCCATCACTATTTTTTCTTACTTCAGCCCAGTGGAATTTGGTTTCCCTCTTAATTGCTCTTTAACTACCCAGAGTCCAAGGTGCCTTTTTAATCCTGCTTCTGTTACCTTTTCCTTTTTCAAAAATAATTCTTTAGGATTAATTTATTGTCCCTCCTTGTCTTTCTTATGGGTATTTGCTGTCCACTCCTTAAACTTGGTATTGCCAAGAGGTTAGTCTGTGGGCTTTTGACACACAGGCTTAGCAATCAAGCATAGCAATGATTGTAGTGCAGGACTGGAGCAATGTTCTGCCACTATAAGCCAGATTTCCCTGTGGGTAATTTTGACCACTCATGGTTATGACTTCCTCACGTACTATATAGTAGTTTTTGCAAACATCTAGCTATTCCAATTTATATTTTGCATTTCCATAGCTAGCTGTCTTTGTGAGATCTTTGGTTTAAAACAACTCTAGCTATATCTCACTAGTAGAATTTACCACAGTATTCCATCGTATCCTTAGAGGCGAGAATAGTGAAACTTTATCTCACAAACTCGACATGTTGTCAGGAGGGGACAGTCCTTGGAAAGGGGAGGGTGTCAGAGAAAGACTCCAGTAAGATAGATTGACAGTTACTGTAGTAGGGGGCTTGAGCATCTCATAGATCATGAGGATGGAGAATAGGCCAAGGTTCAGATCTCTTGTTCATAGCATTGCTGAGTCTCTGTTGATAGCATGTAACAATCTATATTGAATGGCATCATTCAGCAATCTTTTACTCTAACCTGTGTCTGATGATTTCTGAATCATCATTTCTCTTGAAGTCACATATTAGAAATATTGTAGTTGTGTACCATAGAGTTGGAACCAACCCACAGCTGACCTTCTGGCGGATTTTCAGAGGCAGTTAATTGCATGGGAGGAGATTGCCCATCCTTCTCCCACGGAGCAGCTGGTAGCCTCAATCTGTGTGCCTTTGGGATTGCAGCACAGCTTTTTGCCAGTAGGCGACCAAAACTAGTTTTTGCTTAGATATGTTCTAGTTGGTTTTAAATTATTTAATGATAGAGTCCAAGTTCTTAAATATACCTCATTTTATAGTCCCTGGATTATATTTTTAGGAAGTTGAGATAGTTCTGTTAATGAAAGAAATTCAACAGTATGTTTGTGTACATTTGGAACAGTATGTTTGTATACATTTGAAAAGTGAATTCTTGAAACAGGATTCTAATTTAAGTGTAAAAATTTACCACTAAGGAAATGACCTTATTTATTGGTATTCTCAAATTTGTACGAACTTACTTGATGGGATAAAATGTCTGAAGATAGTAATACAAATACTTCATAAATTGGTCTTTTACTGAAGAATAGCTCTAATCAGTTTTAATGTTAATTTCTACAATTACTGAGTTTTAGAATTAAAGGTTAAAGTAATCAATAAACTATTACTGTTAGTATAAGGGTAATTTTAGATTTTATATATTTGTATTTAACCAGACCACTAATGCATTTTTCTCTTTTGAAAGATCAAAGCCATTGGACAAACAGAACTGAATGCCAGCAATCCAGAAGAAGTGTTACAACTGGCAGCACAGAGAAGGAAAAAAAGTTTCTTCAAGCAATGGCAAAGCTTTACTTTTAAATAATTAGTTAAAAGTTTTAAACTTTTATTTTTTAAACAATGATCTAAAAATAAACAGTATTAAAAGATTACGTTTATATAATACATATATACATATTTAGTGGTATTTTCTTTTCAGACAAAATACTGAAATATTAGTTAAGGCAAAAACCTCACAACTGTACAGAAGACTTCATACCCTAACAATAGCTTAAATTTATAATTTCTCCAGAAGAAGAAAAGATTCACATATCAGTCAATAGAATAAACTAGCAGTATGGTATATGTTGTTTTTCCTCTAATTCCACTTATGAAGCTAAAATTCATAAAAACCAAACCCAAGTTAATTATGTAAAGTAGCTAGTATATATACAGCAAATTTGTAAGGTGGTTGGGTTTTTTTTTAAAAAGAAAGCAATAAATAGTTTTTAGGAATCAGTCTACATTTAATACTCTTCTATCTTAAGAAAATAGAAGTTTAGGCAAGTGTTAAGCTTTCATCACTTTGACACTGTCCTCTCATAATGTAGATTTTTTTTAAAAAAAGGACTTTAGCAGTTTGGGGAATATAAATAAAGCCACTAAATTTAAAATGAAATAAAACAGTAGCCCTTAGGGACATCTTAGTGTGTAATAAAGTGACTTTCATATAAATAGTTTTAAAAGATACTTAAGTTTTTCACCCAATTGTGGTATACAAAAGGTTATTATAAAGTAACCTGTCTGTCAAGTAAAGCCCCAAGCAGGAGCCATATTATCTCTCCTTTCTTTGGTACTCCCACTGTTCAGAGCACGGCTTAAACACCATCCTCATCTAAGCCTTTCTTACTGTTAAAGAATACAATATGGCAAGGTAAAAAAAAAAAACTAGTTAAAAAACAAAGTTTATCATTTGTAAGAATTCAAGTTTTATAACAGCTTGCTATAGCAGCTGTAATTACCTTATTACATAGCTAAATCTTTGTAAACAAGTCTAAATTTTACTTTTGAAGAACCAAATTGCACTAGTCAAGAGTGCATGAGTTTTCAGAATCTAAAAGCTAGATTCAAAGTACTGTATCACTTAATCTACCCTATAAGGTAGCATTTATCTAGTCCAAAACTTCAGTAATAAAATTTTTATGTAATAACACTGGATCCAAAGGAAAATGTTGCCGGGGCATCAACTGCAGCTGGCCAGTCACCTTGGAAATGAAGTCATCTTTGTAAACATGTCTTGCTGTTTAATGGCTAACATAGAAATGAAATACATTTCTTCCTTGGGGCCAATTTTAAATGGCCTTTAACCAAAGCACCGCAGTGTCTTCTGAATTGGCTCAGATAATCACAGCAACTTTTTGGTGTAAAACTTTAGTGGTCCATTTTATGAAATTCTACCATTATACTTGGCCAACTTCAATTTGTTTGTTAGTTTTAACTTCTTTAGTGTTTTCCTGCTGGTTTTTCAGTGCTCTTCGGTGGTGTCATAATGCCTCCATTGCACACTGGTGACAGTTGTCCCTCTTTTCTGAAGGTATTGATGTAATTTACTTCATCCTAGACATGTGAAGAAATCATTCAGAAATTAATAGCCTATAACCATTGGCACAGTAAAGTCAAATCAGACAACTGGGAATTTACTAATTTATCTTTTCTGTCTGTGTAATTGAACAATCTCAGTCTCAAGGTTCAACCGTTCTAGTCACAAGTCTTGCTTTGAATTCTAAGTTATTTTTATTTTCTAAACTGTGAAATTGGTCACAAAACTGTCTTCTTGCCATCTTACATACCTGCTTGAAAATATTCTACATCAGCCTTACTAGATGCTACTGTGTAGTGTTGAGATGGAACCAAGTCATTAACTCACCCTCCCATAGGTTTTTTGAGGCAGTAAATCCCATGGGAGAAAATTGCCCATCTTCTCTGGATTCAAACTGGTTGCTTTTGTGTTGGCAATGCAACTTCTTACCACTACACCACCAGGGCTCCCTTTTATTAGTATGACCAAAATAAACAAACCACATAAAACGTACCAGCATAACCAAATAATTTGAATGTGTTTGTATATTGTGTCTATCTTCCATAGGAATTTTCTTAAAAGATTTTAGCTTCACTGGTGGAGAGCCTTTTACTACATTGACAAAAGGTACCATCCAGTCTACACATTCAGAAATGCTGTCCCATTCCAAACCTATAAAAATTAGAAAAATGCAATATTACATAAAAAATTTACTTATGATTAATGTACTGTTTCCAACTTTGAAAATGAAACAAGATTTAAAAAAATAAAGACAAATGATCACTTTCAAACTATGTTTAAAATGACTATTTTGAAGGGAAAAAGCAACTAAGTTCTTTCTGACCCTTTTTTTTCATTACAAATTGAAGACTAGAAAGTATTTCTAACTTAAAGGAATGCAATTACTCAGCTGCTAAAGTTTTTACAATTCATAGTTAAAAGAATGTTAAAGTTAGGGTTAATAAATTAGCAGTTCCTTTAAGACTTGTGAATAGGTAGAAAATAACAAATACAAAGTTTTACCTGAAGCCTTCTTAACCACTTCATTAGAAGTAAAATGGCACAAGGCAGCAGCAGCCAGTATTCTGTACTGGAACTCTAATGAATCAATCGCTAAAATACAGAGATCTAAAAGCTAACAAAGGAAAAAGCAACATAAGTAATAGGAACTGATTTTATATATCTATTCCAATAAAGGAGTTAATTTAATTCACTATACTGTTACTCTGTTGTACTGACTTGTTAAGTACTGCCGAGTCGAGTATGACTCATAGGGACCCTATGAACACAAGGTCTGAACTCTATTCTGTAACGTATCATGAGTTTCCAAAGGCATGTTGTGTAGGATGTGGATTGTACTGAGTATATTTTAGAAAACAAATCTTACAATAATAGTAGCTTATATTTTAAAATGTCAGTACCTGTGCTATTTGGATGAACTTTTCCTGAGAATACTGAGGTAGAAGAACTTTAGGAGCATCTTTAAGAGCATCAACTTGGAGAAAGAGATTTAGCCAGGAGATGACCGTTACAGGACAAAGTTCCCATTTTAAAGCCTGGAAATGAAGTTAAAAATCCCTATTAATAAATTTAGATGACCATACAGTATTCTCTAAGCTAATGTCTTAAAACAGTCATTTAAGAAACTTATCCTGTAGGAACACTGGTCCCTTGTGTTGAAAGGAGACAAAGGACCTTCCTCTAGACCAGGAAGAGAAAGCCTTCCCTTTTAGATGGTGTCTTGAATACAGACTTCTAGCCTTCTAACGTAATAGAGAATAAATTCCTGTTTAAAAGATTTAAGTTTACTTCTTCCCAAGAGTTCTATTATTCTGACGTCTAATTTTTATTAAAATATTTGCAAATATCTTAAGATCTCAAAATGTTTATTGTTTACAAAGTCTGCTACTGATAATGGTGGTATTCCCAGTTTTCAATTTATGGAGTTCATTAAGCTGATTCATTCCTGCTTATCCAGTTTCCTGCAGCCCAGATCTGTTCACTACTTTATTGAAACAGCTTTTAAAATTGTATTTAATGACTACTTTATGGCTCATCCAATTCACATCTTCTAGGAACTGACTTGACTTTTCCTTCTTTTGAAGCTCTTTAATAGCTTCTGGTTAAAACAGAAGTCAAAAAGGAAAGCATATGAAAAAACAAAACCTTTCAATTTAAGATATTTTTTGCTCTAGCAAGCCCTGAAACCTTACTGTTTATGTTGTGTACCAATGAGTAGGAACCAGGTCATTGTTCACCCTCCAGCAGGTTTTCTGAGGCAGTAAATTGCCCTGAAAGAGACTGCCCATTATTTTTCTCCCACAGAGCAGCTAGTGGATTTGAATCAGGTGCCTTTGAGTTGGCAGCAAAATTCCTTACCACTAAGCCACTAGAGCTCCTTTACTGTTTATAAGAAGCCTAAAACATTTACGAGGAAACAGAATCTTAATGTGTGCAGGACGGCTCACAGAATTTAATCTTCCTTAATGTGATCCACTGTACTTCAAGGTTAAATCCAGCTAGACTGCATATGGATGATTTCATTAAAACCATATCAAATACCAAGAAAATCTTACTCTGTTAATTGAAATGTTTCCAATGAACTAAAGATATTTTCTAAAACATCCATAATGTCCACATTTATTTATTTATACCTTCAAGTTGCTGACACTAGCCTTAATAGTCTCTAATTAAACAACTTTATGCTTCTATCCTGCTCCCACTTCTATTAGTAGCCCTTTCTCTGCACACAGAAAGAATCAAGAAAGTGAAATAATTCTGTCTGCTGAAAGAAATCTGAGCCAAGATTTGAGAATCATGAACTATACACGCACACACACACACACAACCTCTCTGCTAAATACCTATGTACTTAAATGTGGTTGTCCTTAATCACCTCCCACCTCCTGAAAAAAACTAACCCTTTATTTATTATGGTTTGGGTAAAAGTTAACAAAGCATATTGAGCTTTTCCCCATTTATTCACATTTAGTTCTAGAATATTAATTAGTGTCTGATTGTCCATTCATTCTATATTGTGTTAATCACTTATGAATCAGAAAAATAATATGTCAGTATAAGAAACTGAAAAAATACTAAGTTTACAACATAAAAGTCATCCATAAATACCACTTTTAGAAAAATGCCAATATTTTGGCATATTAATATCTTACAACTAGTTCCTGATACAGAAACTCAATTTTGCACTGAAATAGATAAGGGAGAGAATAAGAAATAAGACAACTAAATCTTTCATATTTGCTAAAAAAAAAAACCTGCAAAACTTACGAATATTTACATTGTAGTCTTTGAAATTCAGTAATTACTATGCTATTAAGTTGCAACTAGAAATAAATGACAAAGTTATTACCTTTAATATGAAGAGTTCCATCCTTAAAATATCCTCTTCACTGCAAGCACCATCAGTAACATAAGCAAACTCTTGGAGTTTAGGAGCATAGATTTCCTTTAAAAGGGAATTTTGTATGAAGTACAATTATGATTGTCACTGAAACTGAATTATTTACTAATAGAGAAGCTTCATTTTTTGTTTTAAATTTTATTATTTGTGTGTGTGCGTGTGTGTACTGTCAGATCAGATCTGACTGGTACAGGAGGAGATTGTTCCTCCTTCTCCAGCAGAGCATCTGGTGGATTTGAACCGTGCATCTCTGGGATTGCAGTACACCTTCTTGCCACTAGGCCACCAGAGCTCGCCGAGAAGCTTCATTTTTATAAGGACAGTTTCACAAAGTGATCAATCTTAGAAACTCTAATTATACAACGGCCAAAACTACCTTATAAGGGCCATATCTGGATACCTAAATTAGACACGTGACTATTAAAATAATTTTGATAAAACTTGAATTTTAGCTAAACCTTCATTTCAGGCTAAAAAAAAAGACATGTTTTGAGACTAGTATGTCTAACCAAAGCAGGCCTAAGAACTAATAAGGTGTAGAAACTAAATAGAGCCTACAAAAACCTTAGATAACACTGATGATCTCTATTAATGTATCTTTCTTTTATAATGTATTGTTTTAAGATAAGTAGAATCTTTTCAGTGTTTAAGATTGTGTGAAAGAAAATTTAAGGAGTTACCTTTTATTTTTCTATTAGTTTAAAACCTATTATACAGCAGTGGTAACTAAAACAGCATGGTACTGGTACAATGGCAGGCACATAGACCAATGGAACAGAATTGAGAACCCAGAAATAGATCCAGCTATCTGGTCAACTGATATTCAACAAGGAAATCAAAGCTATCAAATGGGGAAATGATAACCTCTTCAACAAATGGTGCTGGCAAAACTGGACTTCTACCTGCAGAAAGCTAAAACAGGATCCCTATCTCACACCATATACAAAAATCAACTCAAGGTGGAACAGAGACCTGGGAGCAAAGCCCAAAGCCATAATGTTCTTAAGAGACAAACTGGGATCAAGCTTAGGAGATACCTTTTATTATAGTACCACTATTAGAAATATTTGGCTAGCTCAGCACTATTATAACCTGATACAGCAGTTGTATCATTTGATTGGTTTTCAAAGCATTTGACTGTTAATTACAATGTATAGAGAGTCTGTTTGACAGAATGAGCCATGAAAGAGCTACTAATTTTAGAATCCAAACCCAAGATTTATTATAAATTAAAACTCTTAACAATGTAGGAACTATGGTAATATATTCTCCTTTTCTCATAATGTTGAGAAAATTCACTTTCCAAAGGAGTTAATATATAAAAAAGTAATAGTATTCTCTGGGATTAACAAGTTAATTAAAGAAACTCAAAAGTTTGAAAGAAAAAAAAAGGTTTATGGATAATCTTTGAGAACTTACCTCAAGTTTGGAAGCAATGAATAAAGAAGTAATCCCAATGAGCTGGAGCATGTTTTTATTTACATCCTTTTGTGTCAGCATAAATCTATCAAAAAAGTCTTGTGCAAGATAAAATGTTTCCCTATGAAGTGTGTACACTTCACATACCTAGAGAAGAATTCAAATATTGAAATATTACCTTCTATTTCTCCATGCTGGGAAAGGGAAAAGGTCCGAGAATGAGAGGAAGACCCTCAAAAAGATGGCTGACACAGTGACTATAATAATGGGCGTGAGCATAACAGATTGAGGATGGTATAAAACAGGGGCGAGGTTCAGATCTGTTGTTCATAGGGCACTATGAGTTGTAGATGGCTTGACAGCATGTTTCTCCAAATTGGAATATCACACTATAACAGTCAAACTTTAGGATGCCAAAGCTAAGACTGAGGGGGGGAAGGAGATACTAATATGTATTAATAATAAACTAATAAACAGCTGTCAAGTCATTCCAACTCATTGAGCCCATGTATGTTAGAGTAGACCTATACTCTATGGGGTTTTCAATGACTAATTTCTGAGAAGCAGATCACCAGGACTTAACAACTTGTCCTACTAATTATTGCTGCTGCCACCGACTCACTTCCAACTCAGCCACTCTCCAATGGGTTTCCGTTTCCTAGGTGATATATCTTATTACTGACTGCTACCAGTGCTCCCTTGCTCTTCCAATATGATTTGAATCTATTGTTATTGTTAGGTACTGTTCAGGTATTGCCATGTTGAATCTACTGTTGTAACTGCTCTGTCAATTTCATTTGAGGGTCTTCCTCTTTTTCATTTATCCTCTACCAAGCACAGTGTCCTCCTCTAGATACCACATTTGCTTGATAACGTGTCAAAAGTAAGTAAGATGAAGCTTCACCATCTTTACTTCCAAGACACATTCTGACTGTACTAAATCTAGTACCCCATCAGTTACTGCACAGTTCTCAACCCCCCACCATGGGAATTAAGTATACTGATTCTCAGATACATTTAATGGTTTTTGCATCTACTGAGATATTCAGATTTTTCTCCCAAGTTAAACTACTAAGGTAACTATTAGATTTTCAAAAATATATCAAAAGTTTAACATTTGTGAATGGAAAATAGTTTTCTCTAAAATCTCAATCATGCACTAAATGTTTCTGCTGATACTAAAAGACTTAACTGTTTTAAGACAATTTTATGCTGCTGAATATATGTTGTTCTGCACAGACATTTAAGGAAAAATAAGAATAAACTGGATACACAGTAACTGGATAAAAACAGCATAAAAAGGAAAAAAATTACTATAGTTGGTATGTGCAGTCAAGTCGCTTGCTACTCATAGCGACCCTATATCCTGCTCTATCCTGTGCCAATCTTATTGTCTCCAACACACCTTCCCCCATTACAATTATGCCAAATTTGCTTACATAGCCATTACACACTCATACAAACAAAAACTATCTTCTTGTACCCACAAGACTGAAATAAAATCTGGTCAGTATAAGGACAAATGGCTTGACTCAAAAGGACATTTTGTGGCTTGAAAACTGATAGCTTCCAACTACCTAAAAGCCTAATATGAGCTCTTTAGGATGTATCATTTGTATGTTTTAAGAACCGTAAATAACTAAAAGTTGGGGAAAAGTTTGTCATTAATACAAATAATAGTCTTGAATTATCAAGCAAAAGGGAATGGACCTCCACAAGACCAAATTCTGGTGCAGTTGTAGGATTTCAGGATCACTATTATTATAATAATAGAGTATGTTTTGGAAAGAATAAGTGGTAAATAGTAAAAGGAAGCTAAATAGGGATTTCAATGTTTAAAGACTCCTATACTTAGAACATGGAAATCAGTATTCCAAGCCATAATTAGGATTTTTGTGATAAGGAAAAGATTTGATGGCCTTGGTTTTTGCTTTTTCATTGCATAGAAATCAGACTCTGAAAAATACATATTCTGTATGTACATCTTGAGTATCTTTAGTACTTGGAACAAGTGTCTGGTATACAGCAATATCCACTGACAGGAGGAATTCTGACTTCGGTTTAAGTTACATGAGATGTAATGGCTGTGTCACTGTGTAGTGGCTTATGATTTTCATTTCTTCATAGTTATTTTCTGCTTTCGTACCATTAGCTATAGTTAAGAATCATAAAAAAGGATTGCAGGCAATAGATAATGTATTCCATCAGAAGACAGAGAAAACACTTCATATCTACATATTTTTCTATCATAAAGAGATTCTTAAAAAATTACAGAAGTAATTCTTTATTGATAGAACATACCTCTAAAAGCCAATCTAGAAGTATTGACCTCATCTGTGGTTCCAGTTCAGAATGCAGAACTTCAAATTGCTTGTCATGAACATATCTGCTTTCTTTGTTCAGCATATTTTGCCAGACTTCATTTGAACATCCCCAGCTGAAAAGGAGGGATAAAGTTTATATTGTGTGATTGGTATCATATACAATCTATTTGTTTCATATAGAAGAAATCCAACTTTCAGACAGTGAAATTCAACATTTGGATTTAGAATTAAAAGCTCGTAAATTAGGAGAAAAATTTAACCTTAATTTCTGTTTCTTTAGTACTGAAAAAGTAGAAGCACAAGGCACTTGACAGAATTTTTTTTCTTTTCTATTTTTTTTTTAAATTTTATTATTTTTGTGTGAGTGTACCATCAAATCAGATCTGACTGGTACAGGAGGAGATTGTCCCTCCTTCCCCAGCAGAGCATCTGGTGGATTTGAACCGTGCGCCTCTGGGATTGTAGTTGCAGCTCCTTACCACTAGGCCATGACAGAGAATTTAAGACTAATATATCTAAATGGATGATTCCAAGATTCTTTTTAATCTCCATTATTTATTGCTTATAAGATTTATGTTTAAAATTTAGTTTGCCAAGGAGCAACAATAAAAAAGTATGATGACAGTACAGACAAGTCTCAATAATCTTCAAATAATCTTTTGCAGACTTCTCTACAAATGTGGGATAAAGTACTAGAGTGGAAAATGAATTTAGATTTGAGTCCATAATTCTGAATATTACAGTAAAATATAAGGTTTTTATACTACATGTTTTGTTTAAGCTATGCCTCTTTTACTTTTGGACAAAACCCAATTGAGTATAAATCAGGCTTGCTAAGAAAGGAATAGTGTTGACACAGGAAATGAAAACCTGTGTATTAGAATAATTCCATTATAACAATTTATTATTTGTATCATTCTAAAAAGGTGATTCAGTTCCAGTAAGTCTCATAGTACTCAGCAAACAAATGAAAGTAAATTTAGAGAATAAAAGTTTTATATGCCATGGAGTTGGAACCAATGCACAGCTGACCCTCTAGTAGGTTTTCAAAGGCTGTGAATTGCATGGAAGTAAATTGCCAGTCTTTCTCCTTCAAAGTAGATGGTGTCAAATTCCTTACCACTAGGTCACCAGAACTCTCTTAAAGTGCCCATATCACTTGCCAATGGCAATACTGTACTCATAATTTTACCTTTTATAAATTTGTCCATTTTATAAAGAAAAATAATTTAAAATACTGTTGTTAGGTGCCCTTGCTTTGGAATTGACTCATAGCTGACTGGAAGGACACTGTTCATCCTTCTCCAATGGAGCCTTTGTACTCTTTACCACGAGACTACCAGAGCTTCCTTTCTTTAAAATAGTGTGCTGTTAAACAAGTCACAGTACTAGGCTTTAATATAAAATGATTGAAATTTTTTCTTACCTTAAATCAGGCAAAGGTGAAGGATTAAGAAAAAGATTTTTAAATCTGTAATTTGTAAATCTGGAGAAGTCACTTGTTTCTATTTCTTTGTGAGGTGTCTCAATGATAATACAAGGACTGATCCCTCCAGTTAATACAGGTGGCCAACAATTCTGTAATGAAACAACAGAAAGAGTAAGAATGTCTATTTGGTGCATTTGGAAACCAGTTCTTTTCCTAGACTTTTCATAAATGAAAGCTAATTATTTCTAAACAATCTGTATTTTCCCCCCAAATGATATTGTTAAGATGGCTGACAGTCTAGCTATTTAAATTGACACTCATATTTTACAAATAAATCTGTAGCTCATATCAATCAACTTTCATAAAGAGTGACAAGTACATTTGTTTTAGACAACAAACCACAATTTTGTTAATATCAGAAGTTAGGCATGGGGGAGGCAGAAGGAGTAGCAACAAAATTGCATTCATAGTCTACCACAGGAATCATTTTCAAGAACATAAAATTGTATTTTTTCCCTCTGAATCTATCAATATTGGCAGGGGTACCTTGTTTTAGAAAGAGCTAGCTTTTTTTTTTTTTTTTAAGTTTGCTCACATACTTTGGAATATTTGAGGTATCTCAGACCTTAAAATGGAATCAAGTGGCATTCATTACTTAAAGCAACCTTTCCTCTAATCAATGCTGGCTTCAAAGGGAGCCACTGTCCCTAAAGGGCTTTCTAAACAACACATAGGGAGAATAGGTTGCAATGGGATGGGTGCCAGGCTGTCAGTGATCTCACATGCTTTATCCCCAAGAGGCAGCTATTAGGACTCTCCACTACAGTCAGAAAGGGAACAAAGAGCAGAATATAGCAGAGATTAGGCGGGCCCTGGTGCCCCAGGCAGCTCCAAGAGGGAGGGATTTACAAAGAAGAACCAGCTGCTTCAAGCAAACTTACTCTGCAGCTGTGGTAGGATCCAGGCACATACAAACCACCCAAAGACAAACACATTCCTGTTGACCTCTAGGGGCATTAAAAGAGGAATCTTTCTACTGCACAGCCATCATACACAATTCTATTCTTTGTCCTGTCCTGCATGTTTCCCTCAAAACCCCACGCAGTCCTGTTCAGCATTACCCTAATCTCATACTGGTGTTTCTTGGTAACCTCTTCTTTTCTTTTTTTGACATCCTGGAAAACAGAAAAGAAAGAATGGGAAAATAAGGCGTCAGCCAGGAGTGAATGAATGAATCCATCTTTCCCTCCCTTTGTCTGCCCCTCTCTTCGACTCACCTGGCTCGTTTTTCTCTTCTTGGCCTGGACTACCTGGGCTTCTTGAGGGGAATTTGACTGGCTGGGTTGGGGCTGCTGCTGCTGCTTGGCTTGTAAACGGCTACTGTGGGGGGTGGAGGTGGAAATAAAGACGATGAAAAGGAAGTGTCATTAGCAAAGCATGCGTTTTGATGGCAGCTAATTTCGAAACGTTGTCTCTAAGAGAGATGTTACCTGCGTCTTGACATTCTCTTCTTTAAGGTGGATGAAATCTCTAGAGAGGGGGAGAAAACAAAATCAAACCCAGTCAAATACAGCGACGTAGGTGTCAGGCGCCAAGCCTGCGCGCCTTCGGGGGTTCCTTCCCCACGGCTCAGGGGGTGACGCGAGCCACTGTCCAGGCCGAGGGGGACCCCCAGCCCTCGGTTTCGAACCCGGGTCGGTTCTTGCCTGGGCTCGCAGACAGGAGTGTCTATGCACGCTCACAAAGCGCCCCCTGCACCTCGCAAGCGCAGGGAGGCAGACCTCCCCGAAATGGGGCTCCTCGGGGTCCCCCCAGGCTGGCCTGCTCCCGCCCCCCGAGACCCCCGGCCGGGACGAGCGCGGAGGGGGCGCCCGGCGGCGGCGGGCGGCGGGGAGGCCGGTTCCGCGCCAATTTGTGCAGCGGCGGCGGGGAAGCAGGGGGCGGCGCAAGGGCGGCCGGGGTCACGTCCTCCCGGCTTTTCCCTCCTTTCCGCCCCTCCAAGCTCCGCTGGCGGCCTGGGAGGGGGCCGCCGGGACCCCGACTCCAGACAGGGCTGGGGGGGGCTCCAGGAGGGGGCTGGGATGGACGGACTGTCCTCCCGTGAAGGGGGACTCAGACCCCGATCCTCTCTCCTGCGGGATCGCTCCCCAATGGAAGTGGGCTGGAGGATCTCTTGAGGGGGAAATTTTTTTTTAAAAAAGACTTTTTTGGGTCTTCCACTTAAAGGGCCCTCCATGCCCCCTCCGCTCCCTGGGACCCCAGCTAAGGGTCCTGACAGGGAGCGAACGCGGTGACCCAGTCCCCTCACCTGCCTGCTTTCCAGACCCTGTTTTCTCCCCTCGGATTCCCGCCCGCAGGATGGACTGACCAAGACCAGCTCCTGCCTCCCGCCCCCTCGCCCTTCCCACCCCTCAGCTCCACTCACGCGCCAGACCCGCTACCGCTCACTCAGCTGGCGCCGGCGCCAACCCAATATATAGGCCCGGTCGGGCCCGCCCCGCACGCATGCGCCTCAGACTGACACCTCCGGGCGGCGCGCGCCCTTCCCCCGCGCCCGCCCGCCAGACCGCCGGCGGGCCCGCGCTCTGCCCTTCCCTGTCCCGAGCCCGCGCGCGAGCCGCGCCCAGCGCAGGCAGGACCGCTCGCCACTCTCGTCCAGCGTCCACCTGCCAGCTCGGCCGGCCGTGAGGAGTCTCTCAGAGGCCCCTCCTCCACGGGCCCGCTCCCCGCCGTTCAGTCCCCTCGTCTCCCGCCAGGACTCCTACTATTCCTCAATCCACCCTTAACTCCCAGTTCCCGAGTATGTCAGACCGGGCGGGTCAGCCCCGGCGGACTGTCCGGTGCAAGCGACTTGGGACTAGCGGGAAATAGTCAGAGCGACGCCCCCTCCCCTGTCCTGCCAAGACCTCAGGGAACCGGGTTCTTTTCCTGAAAGAAGCGGAGACCAGAAGCCACGCCCCCTTAGGAGGAGCGTGGCTAGAACTGACCAATAGGAAGCGAGAACTGCAGCACAACGTGGAGAGCTGCAGAATGTAAACACAGCTCGGCGCGCCTCGGGACCCCGGCGCTTCTGCCGCTTGCAATTGCTGTTCGGCGCCCACCGGCTCCAGGTGGCCTTGTAAGGGAAGGCATCTGCACGCTTTTTCAGCCGCCCAGAGAGGTATGTGATACTCCTGTTTTGACTCCTTTCTGATCCGCTGACCCTCTCAGCAAGTTGTTTTTTTCCCTCCCCTGCTGTCAGGGCTTCTGCCTGGCGGCTTCCTACCGCGAAGTCCGGGTGGAGGGAGCGCTCCCGCCTTGACTGCGCGCGGGCTATCTCTCCTACCATCTCAAGTTACCCCTTAGGGCTAGAACTTTCCAAAACTGAGCTCGAGCTGGTAACTCCCTTGTCCTCGGCCGCGGCGACCCTCTGGTGCTGGGCGGCGGGGACAGCGATCGCCACCCGACGTAGGCCTCGGCCCCGCCCCGCTCGTTCTGCGCGCCCTTCGGAGCCCGCGCGATCCGCTGCGCGGGAGGGAGCCGCCCGCCTCGGGCTGGAAGGGGAGAGGCGGGCCTGCTGCCTTGCCTTGCATTTCCCCCTGCCCCTGATACGTAAATTTCGGGGGTCCCAGTTCGCCTCCTGTCCTTGTGTGCGCAGGACTCGACCGGGTGTCTCTTTATAGGGCATGTCGAGGATGCTCTGCAAACAGGTTTTACGACGGGAGAGAAGGGGCTAGGGACATCCGCGGGAACAAAGACCCCCGGCGTGGAGGACCCCTGAGAGAAGGCTTCCTCGAACCCAAGGCCACTTGTGTGGAAGCGGGCCAACCGCTGCGAGCTTCTCTGCTCCGGGCCCAAGTGAGCTGGAGGGAAAAGCCAGGAGACCTGGCAGCCACGGCGGCGGCGAGGCGGGAGCCCTTCCCGAGATGCTCCGGGCGGTGGCGCGGCCCGCGCCGCCTGCAGGGTCCTCCCACCCCGCGCCGCCTACAGGGTCCCCGGGGCCCGCGCCGCCTGCAGGGTCCCCCCACCCCGCGCCGCCTACAGGGTACCCCACCCCGCGCTGCCTGCAGGGTCCCCCCGGGTCTCGCACTCCCTCAGGGTCCCCCCACCCAGCGCCGCCTGCAGGGTCCCTGGGGCCCGCGCCCCCGTAGGGTCCCCCGGTCCCGAGCCACCTGCAGGGTCTCCCGCCCCCCTCGCCCCAGGCCCCGTGCCCTCTTCAGGGTCCCCCCACCCCGCGCCCTTACAGATCCCCCCACCCCGCGCCGCTTGCAGGGTCCCCCCCACCCCGCGCCCCCTGCAAGATCCCCCCCAACCCGCGCCACCTTCATGGTTCCCCGGCCCTGTGCCCCCTACAGGGTCCCTTGGCCCTCTACCCCGCGCCGCCTTCAGGAACCCCCAGCCTGCGCTCCCTGAAGGATCTCGTGCCCCCTGCAGGGTCCCCTGGGCCTGCGCTGCCTGCTGCCCCGTCCTCCTGGAATCAGCGCCTTCAAATGGGCAGTTTTATTTCATGCTTTCGATTCTTAACAGTCTTGTCCTATCAGCAAAGTAATTACTGTTTTCACATTTACACTATTGTAAGAAATAGTGTTAAGATACAGTGAGAACTTTACCAAAAAGAGGCCCAGTGTTTTGTCAGCACCTCTTAATTTTATACCATTTGTAATGCCAAAACCACGGTCACCATAGAAGTCTGAGATCCCCAAAAAGAGGCCCAGTGTTTTGTCAGCACCTCTTAATTTTATACCATTTGTAATGCCAAAACCACGGTCACCATAGAAGTCTGAGATCTAAGAATGGGTACCATAGAAGTCTGAGATCTAAGAATGAATGAAGGGGTAGAAAGGGGGCTCCTTCCAACAAGCTTGTGTTCCTGAGCATGAACAAGCGAGTAAATTTGGTAATAGAAATATACCAAAAGGCAGGGATTCCAGTTGACGTTTGTGGAATCTTAAGTGTTACATGAAGGAGAAGAGGAAATTCTGCCGTGTTACAAGTACTTTGTTCCTAGAAAATTGCTGATAATGGCATAGAGCTGAAGCCTATTCATAACTAAGCTTCTGGCAGGCTTTCAGAGGCAGTGAATCTTAGGGAAGAGATGTCTGTCCTTCTCCCGCAGAGTGGCTGGTGGACTCGAACCCTTAACTTTGGGTTGGCAGCACAGCTCCTTCCCCACTGGGCCACCAGAGTTCTTCTTTCTCCTGAGAGTAGGGCTATGGGAAGAACCTGGGCTTTCCTCTTAGGTGGAAGAAGGCTTCCAATGCTGCTTTGCTGTAAATTACAGAATCCTTAGAACCATAGCGTTTTTTTAGAGGAAGGTTAAGGAGATACTCAAGGTTTGTTTTGAAGATTAAATTTGGTAATACAGAGAGCTATTCTTTCCAGAACTGTCAAAGAGGAGATGTCAAGTGCTTTTCTCTCCTGTGAGTTGATGGTAATAGCCATTAAACAATTTCCTAGGATCATGAATAAAATTGTTGTTGTTAAGTGCTGTCAAGTCACTCATAGTGAACAAAAGACCTGAAACTGAACACTTGTATAACTTTCATCGTTTCTCTAAATTCATAGAGTTTCTGGAGGCAAGCTATTTTGGAAGTGGATGCCACTCCCACTTCCAAGCCTGTTTTAATCTGGGAACTTCACCATCACTGTCCTCCATGGGTAAAGATTATGGCACCTGACACATCAGTGTCACAGTGTTTAGCATCACAGCAACCACAAGTTACCTCTGTACAGCAAATTGACAGACCAGTGTTATACCACTTAGAAGAATGTTTGCCAAAAATAATTAAAACCAGGCCTGAGGGCCACAGATTAAAATCACCCACCTTTGGCTTGGTAGCATAACTTTCTATCCACTAAACTAACTGAGCTCTATGACTCACAGCAATTCTATGAACAGATCTAACCCTTGCTCTATCCTACACTAGCCCCACAATCTAAGACATGCTCAAGCCCATTGCTGTAATCACCATATCAATCCATCATTGCAATAGACACTGTATCAATTCATTGTGTTGAGGATCTTCCTTTCTTCTCTGACCTTTCACTTCTCTCAGCATGATGTCATTTCCCAAGGACTGGAACCTTAAATTGTTATGTGTTGTTGTTAAGTGCTGTTGAGTCATAGAAGACTTATAGCGACCCTATGAACAAAAGACCTGAACACTTGTTTAACTTTCATCATTTCTCTAAGCTCATAGAGTTCCCAGAGGCAAATTATTTCAGAAGTGGATACCACTCCTGCTTCCAAGCCTGTTTTAATTTGGGAGCTCCACCAAACAGTATGAATAAAATAGAAGGCTGAATTATAAAATTGTAACTCTCCAGAATTCCATTCATTTTGTCTTCCTAGATTGAATACTCTCCCAGAGTTTAAGTGTCATCTTTATTTCATATTTTATATATATTAAACGTTCATTTTTAACCTCTCTTTTTCCATCCACTTACTTTTGAAATATACACAATTTCTATACTTATAACAATTCTAGAATATTTTGGATTTCCTAAACAATATTTTCTCATGTT